TATCTGAATAATTATCTTAATGTATTATTGACAACATGATCGTTCTCATTGCATACTATCAGTGCAATACCATGAACAAAAACAGAAAGGAAAAACTGTATGTTACTGCTCGTCAATATAATATAATATCGTCAGTATCTTTTCTAAAACGACGATGACTAACCTTTTTGGATTTTTTTCTGGTATTAATTATAGACGGATTGATCTCGTTGTTTCACCTCGTTATCTAGTGGTTCCAAATCCATTGTGACCAGCGACTCTTAAAGCTCAATGGTAGGCGACTGTAATCAAGTTAATATTGTCAATTTAGCCTTATTATACAGATATACTATGCTGATGCATTTTGGAGGAAGATTTGTATTCGCTGCAGTTACAATTCGTGTCGACATTTAAATTGGATATGGCAACATCTAAACATCTTTAATATGTTGATACCGTTCTGTTGGTACTCCATTAATTTCTGTCCATATTTTTGCTTCATATTTGCTGGCTATTAACTTGATCACAGTCGTCTATAATTGACCTTTGAGAGTCGCTGGTCATAATGGATTTGATGATATATGGAATAGATTTGGAATGGTATATGAAAACATAAAATTTAGTATAAATATCTTTTGTCACACATAAAATCAATAATTGATCAATTCAAACTGTATGCTCCATAAGGTTTTCTTCGTTGATCGTTTTAGTGACAGATTAAACAGCGTGGCGATTGAAAAGAAAACTGCTATGTCATCATGCTTAATCGCAAGTGAAAATGAAAATCAAGTGCGATTGTAGATCAATCACGAGTAGATAGAAGTCCCGATTCTAAGGTGTGTAAACGCAACTTTTTCAACTCACACGATTGGTCACTAATCTCATCATCATTCTCACTCGCGATAACGTTTTTTTGCACAATGATTCATTCAATAATCATTCAATCAACTGCAGTTGACGCTGCTAAATGTAAATCAATCACCAACAGCAGATAATGATTATAATATCGTATTTTTAGACAACTTTTAAATGCATACATTAAAGTAATATTTCTAATTTCGTTCTCTGTATACCGATGAAGTTTTAACAAGGACCCTGGAACACGTGTAGTATTAGTTGGAAATGCATAACAAGCTAACAAACTGTCAATATCATTCATATGTAAATAAACTGACCATTCTCCTTGTTGATGTCTGACTAGTAACGAAAGATTTAGCAGTCTCCTCTAAAAGGTAATAAAAACAGCTAAATACTGTGTGTGATGAGCATCGCGTGAGTCAAAGTGTAGGAACATCAATTAAATAGCTGACTCTCCTAGCATTCTTGTCTAAAGTAATCTATCTCATAAAAGACAAAGAATAATCTATACTCACCTTCACTCCTCAAGACACATTGTTCAACGAATCAGATCAAAAGTTCATTTCAACGTCGAAATATTTTAAATCTCGAAAATGGAATGGTCCAAGCCGTCCTCCCCATTAAATACGCTCAGCTTCTTGTTGTTGTTTACTTTTAACATGGTTTTTCTTTGTTCTTGTTCTTCAATAGCCAACATACGTTTGGGGTACGGGTTTATCCGTTAGATACATACCACCGTTACATCGACATTCCGCATCAACGTCGACATCTGCCTCATATTGTAGATCTCAGCTCGCTGAATCGAATGCTGAAATGTGCAGATCTGTAAGTTTGTTAGAAAAAAAAGTATGGCCCGTTTACTCTCCCAGCGAAAAGTGCATTTTGTATCAGTATTAGTGTATTGTATTAGTTTACTCCCCCAGTTAGAAAAGTGTACACTTGATATTGCATACAGTAGCATCCTCCTTACAGTAATAAGTTATGGCAGTGAACTGTATTCATTAACAACATAAAAAACTTAGATAAATTGCAATCAGCTTAGTATCAAATTGCTATAGCGGTGGCAGGTGCTATGAACGGCAGCGAGACTAACAAAGTACTTAACGATCCCGGATGACTCCCGATCAGGAGGCTATTCGAAGTAAATCGCACGTGCATGTTTTTTAAAATTAAACACGGTCTGGTTCGCGTGCATGCGCAGGATCATATTTACCCCATAATGCTCAACATTATCTTCGTAGTAACACTAGCAATGATATGTACGTCTACAGCGATAAAAGTGCCATTTTTCAAGATTTCTTTTATCCAACTATGATTTGAAAATAGAAGGACCTTACAGCAAAATCACTGTCGCTTTGATTATAAAAAAAAGTTCTATATTCAGAAAACAGCTAAGAATCAGCTTAACAGGAAACCATTTAAAATTATCATCGAGAGCTAGTCGACGCACATAAGCCCTGTTTTGCCGCTTAAGAGCAGATTTTCCAGGTCCCGGTACCGCCAGGAACCCAATGGGGTTCACCACCTACGTCTGTTGGCTTCCTTCTTGTTCGTAATGGTTGTATTCACTACCAAAGCCTGAATCGGCATGTCGTTGGAAAAAGTTAGTATTGAGTAGAACGATGTGCAAGTTTTTTTGAGCTGTGTCTAGTTCTATATCAGTTTCTAGACGGTACACATTTTCCCTAAAAGAGCACTTTGCTTAAAATATGTATTTTAGTCAGATTCGTACAAAAGAAAAACAAAAATAGAGTTCGAAATTATGACATGTGAATGCAACTGGACTAGAAATTGGAGAGAAGTCGTTTCGTAGTTTGTCTCTCAAACAGTGCACGCATTCTACACTAAATATGTCTAATGGTTACGATTTGAATAACCTATCACTCGATGTCTTAACCTATTCGTACAACAAGTTCAATGAGTGTTAAAGAAGCTTTGGGAGATGAGGACTTTGATATATTTAAAGTTCAATCAATAAAAAGTGTGCATTCTCTGTTATATACAAAGAACATTTCTGGTATATTTGATCTCGATTGTGATGAGTTAATTAATATCAAGGAACGTTGTTGTTTCAAATTAAAAGATAACAGTTATGTCATAAAACAAGGTATTATTTCAAGTGTTACGGAATTTGTTGATACATTAAAAGCATTAGAACAAAAATTTAAAATATTAGTGAAACAAAAACAATTAAATTTACCGATAATGAATGGTAACACAATGAAGAATACAAGTAATAATACTTTAAATTAAACATCATCATCCTCATCCATAATAACTAATAATACTCAAATACCAGCAACAACGATTCCAATATCAACACAACTTGTACCTCTACTTTCTCGATCCTCATCATCGAGTATTTCAATTTACCATATCCAACAAAGACATTTAGAAGTAAATGCGTTAGATAAATGGTGTAATAACAATTTCAATGATATTGTTATCAAACCAGAAGATGATTATATGATTAATGTAGTTTCAACAAATGATAGATATGTAGAAGGGTCAGTAGGATGTGGTTGTGGAACACGTATATTAATTCCATTACGTGCAGATTCATCAACATTTCATTTATCCAGTTGTTATCGTTATTAAATACAGGCAGTTGTAGAATGGTACGTAATAAACAAAAACAAAATAATGTAACTAAAGATTTAATACGAAAAGATGAAGATGTTGATGAAATGATTGATGAAACTGATGATAACAATAAGATTACTGACGACGAAACAAATTCAATACAAAACGATAACGATAAAGAAAATACAAAATCTTCATCTTCTTTAGCGTCTCCGTTAACAACAATTGATACACGTTTAAGCTTAAAAAGAATATATAAATCGGCTACTAAGGATAGTAATCGAGAAAATCAAAAAACAAATTCGTATTTGCCTGACAAGAAGCAAAAGATTTTAAAAAAACACTAACTCTCGATGTAAAAAATTCTTTATTTCTCAAAACAATGTACAAACAAATAGCTTTCTTTTATTAGAACCTTAGTGTATACCACATTTCTTTTTTATTTAGACGAAGTGATGATGATATTAATAAATTAACAATAGAAAAAATCGAAATAATAATATTTAATGCATATAATGATATGAAACGGTACAGCAACATTACCGCGAACGACGTTACCGCGAAGACTCGAAATAAAAAGTTGCTCTATCTTTTTTATTTAGACCAACTTAAGACACATTCCTTCTAATTTTAATGCTATTTGTAGTTTGCTATAAAGCGCGAAATATTATGCGCAGAAAAAGTGGATTTACAGGTAATCAACTATAATGCGCTAATATTAGTTTTGCTGGATCATTGATTATCGTGCTAATACTGTTTCCGCAGGATAGGTGATAAGTACAGATAAAAAGAATAAGAGATTCTCAGTATCATTCTCAATATTCTTCTTCTCAATTTCGACGCTCAATAAAAAGCGAAGAATAACTGTGTGAGAATACAATATATAAGAAGAAAGGTACGTAAGTACCCACAGCCAACCTCCCTCGCCTCCACCGCCCCACTCCCTAAACCATACAAATTATATATAAGCCCAGCTGATGAGACCCTTGAGCAAGGTTGAAACCGGTATTGGGCTGTTCATGCAAGGAAAAGCTAATAGCTTTCCTTTCTCTTATTCTTTTTATCAGTACTTATCACCTATCCTGCGGAAACAGTATTAGCACGATTATCAACAAAACTAATATCCAGCAAAACGAATATTAAAAAAACAATTTTGAAAAAAAATTTCGAATCCTTTTTCATTCCTCTTTTTTCAGGAAACTGTAGTGGTTTTTCTAGTAGTTACGTATTAGTTGACGCGGAAATTGATTTCAATATATAAATGCAGAGATGGGGAAGTCCAAGTCCGGACTGATAGACTTTTTCAGACAGACTGGGACTGAACGCATAAGAGGCTTGGACTGGACTGGACTGAAGACGTAAGAGACATGGACTATTTTAACAGATTTTTTTCACATTTGTGAGTGAAATTTTCAGTTTAAATTTGAAAAAGGTAAAAAGAATAAAGAAATTGAATTCACTGTTTTATCTTTTTCGTGTTACCGCGTAGTCGGCTAAGATTAGCTCTGATCAAACATTTTCATTAGTTAATCAGTGTATGCTGTGGCTGACATCGGACTTGAACTGGAAAATTTTGGCTGCATAGCAGGCTGGGACTGAAAAAATACCGAACGTGCCCATCTCTGAAATAAGGGGCATTTCTAAATCATGTTAGCCATTATAGTAAAATTATTGAATATTTAGAAAACTTATTATGTCGGTCAATTGATAGTCTCTATGATAGATACTATAATTTTAGAATAGTAAGTAGTAATTATGTTAATCTACAACACGATGATGTTGCATTAAAATATGAAATGGAAGCGCATATAATATGCGTAAAAATGAAAGAGAATTAAATTTTTTAAATGTTCCGATACCAATATCTTATAATTTACATTCAATTGGTATTATTTATATAAATAAAGATAATTGTGATCGTTGATTATAAGATAATTGTGTTGATTGATTCTCACACTCTCACGTTGATTTGAAGGCCCCCTAAAGGTTTTCTCTTCCTCCACTCTACTGTGGAACCTTCAATCACTTTAACGAGCCCAGGACTGGCTCGAGCGGGAAGGTAGCACCACCTGAATGGTAGAAAATTTCTCTGTCATCAGCAAAATGTAAAGAGTTTTTCGTTTCCCAGCCTCCGTGGGTGACTCGTGCCAGGCCATTATTTGTTACACCGACGCTTTTTTTACGCCGATTTTGTCATATGATCCTAGACTTACAGGCAAGGAGGTAATTAATACAAGAAATATAATTTGTCTAAAATGAATACGGCAACAGTTGATTTAGACTCACAGACAGAAATTTTTATTTATTAGCCGATGTTTCTGTCTCCTCACGGAGCCAAGTGAAATTATTAGTTACTACTAGAAGGCAATCATATATATACTAAGACCGAACGTAAGAGAAAATACCAGAGAGAACGTTTTAAATGAACATGTGTGACGAGAGGATGATACTATAATTAAATATAATCCAGTCTCAACTATATGGTTAAATCGGTTCCTTTAATCGTTTTCCAGATGGACATTCTTGAGCAAGGAAGTTTACCCCCGCTGGTAGATTGCTAAATAAGGAGAAAAAGACGCACAGTAAAAAAGTTTTCTTCTCGTCGTCTAATAAATAAAATTTTGCTCATGTAAATTTCTATAAAAACTGTACAATAATGACTGCTGTTAATAACTCAAAATTTGTTTTAGTGTACTTGCTGGCTCTCTCACACTTCGACCAAACAATGAGGGTCAAACTGAGAGGGAAGAAATGTTCAAACAAATTGTTTTTAATGATAATGATGAAGATGAATAGCTTTTGTGTTTTTTAAAATTTATCATTAAATCTGATCAGTGTTAATCAGAATATTGGAAATAATTGGAATCGTATTAGGACAGAATAATATTCATCCAAAATGAGAAAAGATTTAATTTAATCTATTCTATTCATTTTTTCTTCTGTTCTTCTTACGTTTATCACGCCATTCTGACATGATCTCTAATATTTGCTTTCGGTTACGACGGGTATATAAAATATAACGAATGAGTGGTGTGACATTACTTTAAATGGTTTTGTCCCTATTATTCACATGATAAATAAGTAAACCTATTTCATTCTTATATCTGAAGACTATAATCTTTTCTATAAAAGATGACATAGTTTCCCCGTTTGTCGTTTGTAGAAAAGTATTAACCCGATTAGTATTGTGGAGAAACGCAGTACTAACTAATTGCGTAAGAAGAACTCGATTTTCGAACTCATTTCACGAACTAAAAAAAACGGTAAAACGATCACATTTCACGCTTTTTCACCTGTTAGGTGATTTTTTAAATTCAATATCTTTTTATCTCCAAAGGTAATAAAATATTACCTTATTGATCTTTTTTTTCTATTGTTGGTGAGGCAGACATGGACCCTTTTTTCACTATTGTGCACTTAGCAAGAGATATGAATTATATCCTTTTATTTTGTAGATGATATATAACAAAAATACAATTCATATTTTTTATCGTGCATTACAATTATTCATATTTGGTTGTATATTATCAACTGTTTTAATATCCTGTCAATATGAACATAACATAAGTTTATTTGATTCACGTTTATTATTGAGACGTGCTATTTGGATTATATCATTTTGTGGATTTAGTGCTGGTAAATGTGACAGCAGAATATAAGTGATGTTATTTTTCTTTTGTGTTCTATCTTTTTCTAGTTTTTATTGGTTTATTTTATCCAAATATAGCAAAACAAAGTGATATACTATCAGCATTAGAATATGATAAAAAAAAACCACAAGTATGCAAATCACTTGTGTTATTTTTTGGTATTAATCAATTATGTGCAGTATCCTTTTCTGTTATTTTTCCTCTTACTATCTTCTCTCTTTACTTAATAAATATGATCTTTCTTAACCCTTAGTCATAGAAAGTTCCATTCAGTAGTGATATTCACTTTACATTAACAGTGGCATTTTTATGTGGGGCTTTTTGGTGGTTTTGTGATGGAACTACTATCGGATTTTTATTCTCACTCATACTCTCACTTTTATTATCAGTTACAACTGAAATATTATTGATAGCTGGTGCACTGAGGTAACAAATGACAGAAGAGGAGAGTGTGTGTTTTATAATCTCATCATTCATTTGTTTATATTTAGATATTCCGATTCGAATTTTTATCTTAAAACTTGTGTGCCTTGTTTAACGTTTGCTGGTATTACATTGACCATACAGTTGACGAAAATTTTATCGCAGGTAGAATAGTTTTCTTCTTATACAAAAAACTATTTTTTTATTCAAAACATACTTTTATTGATGGTTCCAAATCTAATATTCAGTTTCGCTTTTACTCGGGTCTTCAGAAATGCATACGGAGATATGAAATGATCTGTTTATGTTGTGGAGCATAGGAAAATGACCTGTAGGAAAAATATTCTTAGACCTAACACATGATTGTATAACTTATCTAGAGAAAAAACGAATTTTTCATATACTGAATTCATATTGTTTTCGTTTTTTTCAAAAGTAAAGCAATTCATTTTGTCCTAGAATAACAGTATACCCATGTAAATCGAATGTGTCTGAAGGAACGTGTTTCGTTTTGAAAAGACGCATTTGCGTTTGGGATGTTTAAATGCGCCCGAAAGTGTTGCATGTGGAAATCGAGTCTTTCTGAAATGAAATGCGTCCAGATAGCATCAAATGGATGCATATTTGAAGCGATTAAACACAGAAAAAAAACGTGTTTTCAGACGCGTTTCCGACTCGAAAATATTTACATGGGATTACGTGTAACAATGTCTTGCTATGCGGGTCGCAATTTCCCACAACATAGAAAAATTACCACATTGAACGGCATGAAATCCGGAAGTTTTCACGTAAAACTAAGAGTAAAAACTCTGCGTTTTCATGCAGAGATTCACGATTACAATCACAAAATGTAAAGTTCAAACACTGCTATTAATTCAGAATTTTATAATTCTGATTTACATATACGTAAACATTCTAAAATTCTGAATTCTAGGGGTGAGAGTGAGTGTGAATGTACAACTTTATGCGTATGTAAGAATTCTGTATATGTAAAGTTGAACTTTACATGTATGTGAACTTCAGAATTCTAAAAATCTGAATTCTAGAAATAATAGCACTGTTTGAACTTTACATTTTGTAATTGTAATCGCGCAACCTCTTTTCATGCCATTAAATAAATGTGGTGGTTTTCTACAAGGACAGATTTCGTTCATTTCAATATTGATCTCGGACCTTCACTGACGCATTCTGGAAAATCCAAATGAATCCAAAAAATACCATCTGGAGAGGAGAAAGCGAGAAAATATATTTGAATGTGTTCAAGGGATTTTCTCGTTCTTACGTGTCGTTTTAGCCATTTCCAAGCATTCGATAATCTGCTCATAAGCTGCATGTGAAACAAGATTGAATGCAACAGCCATTACGACTTTCTTATTCCTGCAACATTTTCTCAAGAATATATATATATATAGTCCTTCCCTTTAAAAAGTATTGAACAAAACATAAATAAACTATAGAGGCACAACACTAATAGAACACTTGTTACTATTTACAGTTGTACAGATATTATTTTCAGTTTGATAAAAATAAACTTTGATAGGTTTATCTTCGTTTTATTATAGAGAGAAACATAAATAACACAACCGACTAGAGGTCCTCTCAACAGGCGCATACCCCAGAGAGAACGTAAATGTCGGATCATCATTAAAATGATTAAACAGAAAATTCTCTTTGATGGCACTGCAATAGTCAACTTTAGGAAGAATAGAAGAAAGATAGATTCGATGCCGAACTTAAATTGGAGCTAATCACAATATAAATCTTATAATTTGATTTTAACTTTTCTCTGGTGTCGACATAATCTATGCATTTTTTCCCTTATTCTTATGGCCCATAGCAACGCTCCTATTGGCACCATTAAGCGCCAATGGTTACGCTGTTTGCTAACTTATATGGTAAATATTAGCGTAACTTATAGAGCAAAATATAATCGAACTTGCTATTTCTGGAGCCTGAAATATTAAAATTAAATTCAACATACTCTAGCGCATAGAATAAGCGCAAAACAGTCAGAGAAAGTGCTTTCTGTGCTAATTAAAAATAAGCGCAGAACAACGCAGAAACAGCGTCTAACATGGACGACAGTTATAATAATTAGCTGATTTTCTCTAAAGACGAAATTGTCATTCATGCAAAACGTCCGAATTGATACATGAGTAAACGGTTGAGCAAGAAGGCTTCCCTAGTCGATGTTCTTGTTAAGCAAGAATGCAAGATCCTGTGACATTTCTTGCCCAAGAATCGTTTCTTGCGCATTCTTGCCTCTTTCTTGCCCCAAGAAAGTATTTTTCTTGCGCAAGAAAGCAAGAACACTTTTCTTGTCACTTCTTGCTGTAACCAGCTTCA